CTCTTTGGCAAAGTAGTTCAAGACTAACCCAGACGCTTAAACTTCTTGAAATTTTGTCCCTTCACTTAACTGTACACTGGCACTCTATAAAACATCTCTCCCCTATCATTTTTTGCCCTCAAAAGTACTTTTTGTGCTCTACATTTCCCGTTTTCTTAAAACGATGTCATTTCTCCTCCAGATGTCTATGGAAAGGGCTAAGCACAACAGAGCTGAGGGAGAAGGTACTGAGGTTAATCACAGAATAAGAACATAATCTAAGTTGGAAAGGACCTCAGGAGGTCTCCAGTCCAAGCTCTTACTCAAATCAGGGTCAGGTCTGAGGTCAGACCAGGTTGCTCATGGCTTTACCTAGTTGTTTCTTGTAGACCTCCAAGAACAGAGCCTGCACAACCTGTCCAGGCAACCTGCTCCACTGCCTGGCTGTTGTCAGGATGACTTTCCAGATATCCAGTCTGAATCTCGCTTGTCTCTCATCCTCCCACCATGCGCTGCTCTGAAGAGCCTGGCTCTTCATGTTGATAACCTCCCTGTAGGTGCTGGGGGGCTGCCGTCTGGCCCCCCCTGAGGCTGCCTTTTCCCCTGGCTGAACCAGCCCCTGTTCCTCAGCCTCTCTAGCTGAGGTGCTCCAGCTCCTGATCATCTTCGGAGCCCTGCCCCAAACTAAAGATGATTAAGCTGACTTCAGATATAGAGCCAGAAGAGATTCATCAGTACAACCCTGCCATCAGATGAACCAGTCCTGTGAAGAATGAGTGCAGCACAGTGTCAGGCCTTTGGGACTCAAGCGAGGATCCCTCACAGTATTGCACTTTCTGTACATATGATATGTCAAGTATATGTATATGTATACGTATATGACAAGTCAGCTCTAGAATAACTTCATGACATGAATATACTGAATGGTATATGTGAAACATTATCCTGATGAAATTACTCAGCTACCACAGAATAACTTTTTTTTTTAAAATGGTCTTACAATATTTTATACAGTCACTCTTAGTCAGACATGATGAACTCCCTTTTTCACATGCATTCCTGAAACTAAGATATCTTGCTAATAGTAACAGCGGTGTATATGTGCTAAGATTTTTCAAGGAATACTTGAAGCAGAGATACCAAAATATAAGGTCTGTATCTCTCCTACCACCAATACGCATTTTGAAAAGAAAAATGAATAGAAATATGTCTTTTATAATGCGACTTCTCCCACTCCAGTTCCACCAGTACCTTACAATGTGCTTATCAGCATACATTATATCTCAGGCTGGGAATTATAAAAAAAGGCAAGGAGGAAAGTATTGACTAGGTGTGGAAAGAACCAAATTCAATAGCCATATCAAAAGATATTTAAGCAAAGGAGGGGTATGAATCACCAAGTCTAACATTAAAAATGTAGCCTACATTAAAGTCAATGGCAAAATCCCTCAGAATTTCAAGACGCAAGATCTACAAGTGAAGATTCATACACAGATTTGAACCCACTCTCAAAGTGGGGACATGCCTGGAGAAGGACTACTCCAAACCAGTATGCTAGACACAGAGGCCAACTGTGATACTTCGAGCTGAAATCTGCCAGCATGGTCTCACTCAGTAAGTGGTTTTCACTGCACTCACAACTTTACTTGGCAGCACAAGTCTGACCTCTGTCAAGAGCCTCAAGTGTGATGTCGAATTCAATTATGAAAAGACGCATTAAAATCTGGCTTATATGGTTAAGAAGTAACAGTCACCCATTTTTGTTTTGGGATCAGAATCTCCCCAGTCTCTTTAAGGAGAGACATTTTCAGTCTATTCAGTTTCAACATTCACATTAATATCTTTATTAAGCAACCTTGAGACAGAAACTGAGCGCTTAGTAAAGTTGCTCTCTATCAAATATAAAATATTCAAATATAATCACATTGAAAAAAAAAGTTATTACTATTTTAAATACTCATTGAGAAACAGTTTGTCTACTGGAGGTCTTCTCCGCACACTCTTCCCTGTACTCTTCAGGTATATCATTGACCAGGACAATTCCAGGGTACTTCCATTACCTACCATCAACAGTGGCCAAACTCACTTATGCACTTTAATTTTGGGACAGAGTAATGCACTGTGTTTCCAGCAATATCAATAGGTCCATTCTGCTCATACTGAATGAGTGTCCTTCACCCTTCCCTCCCCTGTCTCTCCCCTCCTTATCCTCCCATGCCAGGAAAGGAAGGAATTCTCCTTTTCCTGCTCAAATATCCAATAATCATTTCAGCCATCTGCTTCAATACAAGAAACTCTTCATAGAAGCCCATCTAAATGGCAAACCATTAGAGATTAAGATGATTTATTTTAGTTTAGTGCAGTGTCACTGGTTTAATAAAATAAAAAATAACCAAGGATTTGGGAAGTACTATGGCTTACCTATGTAAAAACTCACTCTCTTGCCAATACATTCTATCGCTGCTGACAGACATTAGAACATTCCTTTCATCTCTTTCCTCTTCTTGCAGTTTAACCTATCCCCTTAAGGAGTATTTGCTTTCTCTGAGATAGATTATACATTGTATGCAGCATGAAAACCTTAGGCACTTTCTCTACCATCTGCTAGGCTTTTCTGCCCACTTCTTTAAAAAGAATTAAATCAAACCCCTTATTAATCTTTTCATTTTGGATAAATAAACCAGGATTACTTTTCTGTTAGAAACTAAAACAAAAGGATTACTATTTCCAGATATGTGCATGTAAATTAGAGAAGCATTTTTGAATACAATCAACCAAACATCCAAGCCTAGTGGGACCAAATGTGGAATGCAATCTGTGATAAAGAGCAAATATGAAGCATACACATACACGCACACAAAACACCCCCTCTACTCATGGAGAAAACATGATCTAATATGGGACTGATTTCTTTCAAATAATTCTTTCTGCATCCCACTGTGACTCCAGGATGTGCAAATTAAGATAAATTTTATGGGTCAAATTCTTCTTACCACTACATGTGCTCAAGTCAACTGAAATTGATGACAACTGGATGCTGTGTCAGAGGATGGAATTTGGCACAGAAAATCACAATGTAAGGAGAAGATGTTATAAAAATAAAAATGACATGGTGCTTTGAATGAGAGAGGAAACAATTCTCAATGTGAGTTCAGAGAGAGAAAAGCATAGAGCAGAAAAAGTTGACCCAATAGCTAGTAGATTATCAGATAAGGCTCAGTTGTCAAAACAGAGCCAACTGCGAGGATCTGAATGAGAATTTTCATAATGGCTCTAGAGGAACCTAACCCCATTTCATAACTAACTCTAATGGAAGCAAAGCTACACCAGCTTCAAGATCTGATCCACTCAGAGCTTAAAAGACTAGAGACTAGTTCATTACTTTTGTATTCTTTGGAAATCCAAAATAGCTATTTAAGACTTCATCATTACAGAGCTTCATGTCTAATCTCATTAAACAAAACAGTGTGATGAAACCTTCAGTGCAAACTTCCCTCCTCTTTCTTCTTTTTTTTTTGTTTTTTACAACAGAAATGTCCCTAAAAGAAGCCTGTGTAACTTACAAAATAGACCTAAATCAAAAACAGATTCACATATTCGTGTAGATGATTTAGCAGTAATATTTCTAGCAGTGGGAGTTTGCAAATATTATCAAATCCATGTTCATGCTTTATGACAACTGACCGATGAAAACCAGAAGCTATTCTGATACATATTTTAACCCATTTTTCTGCTACTGGAATGAATATGATCACAAATGCCTTCCTGGTTAAACTTGTGTTCATTTGAGTGAAATGTGAAGATGTGTCATGTCCTCAGCTGAGTTCCAGAACTACTCAGGATGTCATGTAGCATTTAATTTCAAGCTCCATTTAGAAAAAGAAATTAAACATCTAACCTGGAACAGCTATCCTCCCAGCTGTTGGATGATTCATTTCCATCACAAGTCCATTGTGCAGCACCTAGAAAAAAAAAAAAACAACAACCAAACATGTATGTAATAAAAAAATATAATCAGTTCCTAAACTCAAGAGGAAAACAGAAATAAATATTATCATGTTCTTTCACAGAAAATCTGAAAATACAGGGAGCTACAATCCAAGTAATTTGTTTAATTTGTAAAATGAAAGCCCTGATGTTTGACACTACTCTCTATTTTATATATCTAAATAAATGCTTCAGTAAGACTTTACAAGTCTAACATACATTTAAGCTCTTATATCCAACATCAAACGTAAGAAACTGAGCTGGCAAGCATGTCATGCTTTCAGCCACCAACAGACAACTCGTACCAACATGGAATGAGAATTAAAACCTTCATCCACTTTCACTTTTAATCTGCAAAATGTATTGAAGGCCTATGCACAACTTACGCTCTAGTGGTTTTTTTCGCTGTTACTCAGTTGCTTTTGAGCTCATGATAGGTGACACTATGAAATGCTGTCTTAGTAGTTCTTACAAACATTCAGGAAAGATGCCATAATTTTGATGTTATTTCTGTTCTTTCGAGTGGGTATGCCATGCTTCAGCTCCATGTATATCTGTATGGGATGATTATTCATCACAATTTCCAGTTTCTTGTTATTAACCTCAACCAGAAAACAACATATAATACCGAAATTCTCAAGTAACAGAAAAAGAAATTCATAATAGCAAACTCACTGCTATTGTTAATAGAATTCTGCATCCAAAGCCAGTAAGTAATCTTTATCATTTCCTTACCTATTATTCTGCCATCCTTCTAACACTATCTTAACCACATAATAAGAATTCTTAAAAATTATTTATTTTGTTATTGAAGTATCCTATAAAAATAAAAAGCCTCCCAATTAACCAATTATTTTCATATCCAACGTAACAACAAGCTGAAATAAAATTTGCCTTGCCAAATGTATCAGCTATAGAAATGAAAGATCGGCAAAGACTGTTAAGTGACCATATAATACATCTACCTATTCACCTTACACCGTGAACGAAACTAGCAATCTTGACTATTAATGACAGGTGTTGGTCTAACTATGCTTGAAAATTTCCAGTTAGCAAGATGACAATTTTCTTATGTAGTCTGCACCATATTCTTTATTTTTATTGTTAGAAATTTTTCTCCTAATACATAATCTAAATATCTTTGCTTTGTATTAAACATCTTTATTCTTGTCTTTTCCCCAACTGGACACAGAAAACCAATCACTATCATTTTATAACATTCTTTTACGTACTGGAAGATTGTAATCACATCCTCCCTCAGTCTGCTCTTTTCTAGACTAAACAAAACTAATTCCTTTAGCCATTCTTTCCAGGTCAAATTTTGTGAACCTTTTATCTGTGTAGAATAGCATGCTTAAGAAATTCCCATTCCTGAACAGGTGGTGTCAAAAGGTCAGGTCAGCTTTCTCTTAGCTTGTGGGGTGAGCCTATTTAGCTGACATTTAGAAATCCAGATATTTCCGATAATAGATGCTGGTGGAAGAATGTCTGTTCACTGGTCTAATTGTTTGGCGCTGTACCAAATCATTAGTTCTATTTCTCTTTCGGAAGGTTAACGCCAATTTTGGTAGACATTCAAGTGTGACATTCAGAATTTTTTTCCAAGTGACAGAATTGGAAAATATAATTGCTTGTTTTAACTCATATTTAGAATCTTTCCAGTTATGTCCTTAATCAAACAGCATTGAAAGTTTGGCCTCCTTTCTCCATAACTTACTTACATAGGCTTTCTTTATGCATTTAATTGATTATTTGTGACCTAAATGCAAGAAAACATGCTTATTTGAACTTGAAATCACCAACACACTCAGGTGCATAAGCACTTCTTTAGATGGCAATTGAAAGGCTCTACCTAAAAGTGGCACCATCTGGTTAAAGACAAACACAAATTCTCTAGCAGCTACTCACGTCTCCACAAAATTCATGCCTTCCTGTGTTCCGGGTCTCTAAATTCTTATTCTGATAAGGCAGACTTATATTACTTTTAAAAGATTTCCTTTTGTTAGACTCAAATTCCATCTCCCTTTTCTTTACAGAATAAACTAAGAAAAATGTGCAGTATCCTCAAGGATCACCAGTCTAACTTCTATTCTCTTTTAAAAGAATTGCTTAAGACGCAGTCAAGCTTCCTTTCCATTTTCATGATAAGTACGGTGTTGATTTTCCCTCTCAGATACATTATTTTCTTGAAAACGCTGCCATTGTCCTTACTCTTATTTTCTACAATTATTAAGCCTATATTGGTATGCTCAGTTCCCTCTTTTCTTTCGAAGAAAACAACCCCCAAACAATGAATTTGGCCAAAGACTGTTTTTTTTTTTTTTTCCCACATCAGCAACACTGTTTAAAAGAACTGTGTAATTTCCTGTTTCATGTGTTCCACTCTTAGCTTTCCCAAAAATATACTGAAAAAACAACTTCACTGACTGCTCCTCATGTGCATTCTAAAAACTATGAAGGAAACATAAGATTACTGCATCCTAGCCTCTGGGAGAATGCAACGTTCACATCCATTATCATCAAAGACAGGGAAAGTCTGAGGACAAAGAGATGGAAGTTGAAGGTCTCCTCCATTGTCTTGTACCACTCAAATAGTCACGATCCTTCTGATGTGGTAGAGTCCTCTATCCCCTTTGTATTCACCTTAGCTCAGCATAAGGAACTGATGTAGCAAGAGGATCATGTAAAAGATGATGGCCATCAGTAGATCCATTTTTTATTTTTTTTTTCCCCATATGGCTTACTTTCCAGGCTAGAAACACTCTATTACTACATTACCTGTTACCATTTGAGATTTTGTGAATCAAATTAATGTTTGGGTGGCATTTTACACTGATTATATTGAGATTGTTGTAAGGGAATCAGAAGCACAGTCATCTGTCTTTCAGGAATATCCTTTCCATGTTATTTCATTTTATTCCAAATACAGTCATCTTGTATATTAAAGAAGGAACCTCTCTTGTCTGTCTACTGGTTAATGAGAATAAAACCTGATGTCACTATTTTGTAATCTTATCTCTACAATAGGACTAGCAGTGTCCTGCTGTTATTTGTGACATGTCCGTGTAGGATTTTTTTTTCTGTTCATACACGTTTATGTCTTTCTTCCTGACACTTAGCACTGTAAAGGAAAAGCCTCTCCTATTTGCAAGAAAGAAAAAAATTACACAACATGAAACATTAAAAAAAAATCTCTGCATTCTACTGAAGTCAACAGAAGATAGGGTTGCTCTGATTTGTGCCATCTTTTATAATGACTCCTGAATCAACTTTTGCTACATAATTTTTTTTAAATATGTGTTTTCTTGAAGACTGAATTTGAAAAACTATATAGATATTATATATACAATGCAGAATATATGTAATTCTCTATCATTAGTTGCTACAATACTGCTTTGGGATTATTTATTGTATATACAGACAGTATCAGATTTGCCCATGTTACAAAAAGAAAATACTGTATGGTGATGGATAAAAACAATAGAAGTCACTACATTTTAAATTTATTTAGCCAGTATAGGTTATTACATGACTTCATTCAAACTACAGCAAATAGAACAATTCATATGATTATATCTTCTAACCTCAGAGAATAAAAGAATTTAATTAAAAAATTACTTCAATATTATTTTCCCAATACTATATGCAAGGAAGTCCACATAAAATCTTTTAGGCAAAGATCTTGATGTTTTACTTGTGCAATGCAAACCAAGGGTAATTTAATATATTTCATCATATATATTCTCAGTTCTTTCATCGTTTCCTCGTCACTTGTAATGAGAAAAACTATGGAGGATACTTACATCAGTTGCTATGAAGCTCACAGTAATTCAGATATTATAACTTCAGTGAATAATTCTGCTCTTTTCCCTAACATTGTTAATAACTGCAAGTTAAAAAGCATTTAAATTTTTTATAACAGGCAGAGTTAAAATCCCTTAGCTATCTGCTTTCACAAGGAGGATCAAATATTAACTCTAGCTATTTCTTGTATTCTCACCTTGTTCGAAACAATTACTCAACCAACACTACTTTTGTGCATTAATATTTGTATTACCAGTGGGCATGTTCAGTTCAATATTGTAATTTTTCTTTCAGTATTTGAGTCTCTTTTGAGTCTCACTTAAAAGATAAGGGACATATAAGGAAGAAAATGAGAATAAAATTAACTTCAAATGAAATATGATTATGAGATAGAAATACAATATGGCTGCAGAAACAATTTTAAATTTCATCGTCATGTAAAAGACTTGCAAGGCTGAAAATCTAGATTCAAACAGGAGCTTTATCTTCGACCGCTTGGGAATTAAGACCTTTACAAGATCATATGGTACGTACAGTGGTGCAAGACACTTTTTCAACTTGAACAGATTCTTCAAGGAAAAAGGTAAAACTCTCATTTTTCTATGACTGTACTGTCCCTTAAGGTAGTAAGATATACAGACTATTAATGCATATTGTGGCTTTCTTTGGGACTTATATGTGAGTACCTATTTATCTACCTAAAACACAGCTAGAAAAACTATCACCATGCAGGATATGGCTTCAGGATGATTTAAAGAAACCTGTTTTTTCTCAGACACTCCACAACTTTTAAGAATGTCTGATGGCTGATGATGGGTCCCTTAATTGATAAATACAATAACAATACACATATAAAAGGGTTCTTTTGATAAAAAGATTATATAGCAAAGTAACAAAAGTTGTGAAACGGAAATTAATCATGAATATTATTATTAACAAGCATTAATCTTCCTTGCATCCCTCAACAATGAATGGCTCTCTTGCATGCTAAGGCAGTAAAATACTTCATTGCATTATTGATGCAGCAGCACAAATGGCAGGTAGGAGAATCAGAAACATTGTTTCTGCCTTTTTTCACATGGATAATGGGATGTTTGTCTACCTAGTAAACACCTGGCAAATTTTGCAATTATAAGGTTCATTTCATATCAAGTTAGTTCATTTCAACTGT